AAAAAAAAACTACTCTTTATTGTACAAACGCTGTTGAATGAACTCATTCTTTAGCTGACGATTATTCGTACAGGCAAAATAGAACAGTAATCCAGAAATATTTAAGATCTCTGAAGCAATTCGTTTTCAACCCGTCCATCACATCAAGTCAAACGCAATAGCTATCAGCGTGCAGAGCTTACTAGAGCGAGACAAGTTACGTTTGCTTAAGGCTTTTGTATTACTGAATAGCAGTGGCGAAGATAGTATTTTTCAGAGGATGGCCACTTAAAGAATCTTCGGGTGTATTTGAAGGGTTCCTATCTGAGCAATTTTCTCGAAGAATACATCAAAATGTTCAGAACATTCTTTTCTCGAAGAATACATCAGAATATATGGGGCTAAAATATGATAAATAAACTGCTTTTTTTTGAAGAAAATAAAAATTAGTTCTGCTCTTCCTAAGGAGGCTAATCCTCTCGTCGCTCTGACTAAATCACTACAAGGTATCAGCCGGGACTACAAAAATAATGATGCTACTACAGCTACAAAAAAACTTCGTATCTCATCTCAGGTTGTTCGTATTATTCGTCGATCTGGAATGCAAGCGAATCTTTGGTTCATTGCAGAAACTACATATTGTTCGCGACACGCCGTTCGTGGATACAGACATGGATCCAGATTGCAAAATTCTTTTTCGATCGCATCCCTAGAAGCAATTTTTTTACAGTGCCTTACTGAGAAAAACAAAAATATTTCGAAAAATTCCTCATGTCTTTTTGGAATCGTACCCAATCTAGTTGAAAACTTTACGAAAAAAAATCAGTCGGAAAATACCCAGGGCAGAGACAGTCTTCACGATTTCGTCTGCAGCCGCGAAAACGTTGCCGACTTCCGAATGCGCCACAAGTATCCGTACAAGCTGACCACTGTCCCCACTCTGCCCACTCCACTACGCATGTCCCTGTAGTCGTTTGCTACAAGAAAAAAATATTGGATCTTTATGATTCCCCTTTTTCCGCATTTTCTCTTGCCTGTCCATCAACTGCTATTGTCCTCCGCGAATTTCCCGTCATCTTAGCAGTATCTCACGAGTTATTCTTCATTCTTGTAAAATAGGGTTTTGTATTTTAAAAAAGCTAGAACAATCTTGATTTCAGCGCTTTTACCTCACTGAAATAGCTAGATCGCAAAATAAAACAGCCTGGAAACATTAAATTTTGGTAGCGGAAATGACTTGCTGATGTTTGCAGTAAGCTTTTTTGAGTTGCTTAGCTAATTCATGTGCAAGGAAAATCATTGGCTTACTGAGGTCAGCTGTAAGGAAAAGAAGTCACGCTCACACACAGATATGTATTTTAGAGGCGTAAATGTATCAGCACTTTAATAAAACAAAATTTTTGAATACTAGTTGATTAAATCTGTCCTCTTCGCTGCATTGACAGTCAACAGCTCGCAATCTCAGCACCATTTCCCCTTTATTTTACTCCACGACATTCTGCAACCTAGAAATAAAACAAAGAACGAGCAAAGCAAAATTATCCGAAAATGGCCACATGGAGCATTTAAATATCCATGTCTTCATCGCTGCATAATTTTTGCTTATGGACATTTGCATGAATTGTCAGCAGCAAACAAATTTCCATCACGCTCTCTGAGTGCCGTCTGTGGTCTCAGCGTTGGTTCTCCTTAAAAATCTTAGAAATCTGAAACAAAAAAAAAATCTTACCGTTCCTGGAGATGTTGTACTGACAAATTCACTCACCTCTGAAAAAAGGTCGTGTTATTTCTCTTTTTTTTTTCCTGTTAAAACTTGGCCATTTGGTAATATC